TTCTTCATTTTTAAGAGAAAAATTATGAAAAAAATTGACAATATGTATTACCTCCTTCTCGATTTTTTAGTGCAATACAAAAATATCGCACAAGTGGACTTGCATACTTCTTCCAGGGGGGGTGCGAGTTGTCAAAGGTTCACAGATGTCAAAATACTCCAAGTATATAAAGCCAGGGAAAAAAATCTGGACACCGCGGTACAGCTTTTCGTCCCTCAAAATACAGTGACATCTATTGGCAACAAACATAAACAAGTTTCATGGAAGGTTTATACATATCGCCCACCAAGGACCGTCCTAGGTCCTTAACAACAGGAAAAACAACCAAATGAAACTTTAAATTGCGAATATATCGCCCACCATGAAACAAGTTACGGTACACATCAACAATAAAATAAAAATAAACCATGTAAAAAACCGTTGTACCGTAAAATAAAAAAACATAATATTCAATATACTCAAAACCTTAAAACTAAATAAGCTAAAATTATTCAGCTTTAGGAAGGAGACAAATCATTCTGTTACCCTTGAAACTAACAACTAGAACATCATCGTTACCGGGATGGACCACAATCACCCTGCCACTGAGCCAAACCCGTAGCTAGTTGTCCACCATTATGACAACTAAATCAACAACCTTTAGTTTGACGAATTTACATAGTCCACCTCTATGTTTTTCACCTTACGACGTTCATAAAGCTGTGAGTTTTCAAATCTCCAACCAACTTTCAACATGTTCACATTATAAAAGGATCAAGAACCGGAGATAACTGCGTTTAGGTAAGTACACATTTTTTTTTACATTTCAACATCAGCACTAAAGTTTTCAGATTGGCATGCAACTAACTAACACTACCAATAGCCTTCCGTATCACTACTGATAAGAATAAGAATAAGAATAAGAAAAACTTTATTTGACACAAAAGAAAACAGAAAAACAGAACAAAGGGACTTAAAACTATACACGCATAATATTTTGTGCCAAAAAGGCGCCCGCTCAGCATTAATCGAGCCACGCGTGCATGCACGCGTGCCCCGACGCTGGTTTTCAGCGGGTGCCTCTCCAACCAACATTTTAAATACAAAAAAACAAAACATTAAACAAGACATTGACATTGACAAGAGGGCGCCACTATCTCACCGCACCAATTTTGGTATGTTGAGAAAATACAAACAAAAAATAAAAAAAATAAATTAGGATACAACACTGGAGTCGACTCATGACGCCAGCCCCCCTAGACAAAATGCACTTTTATAAGTGAATCAAAAATCGAATTTGTCAAAAAATCCATAGAAAAAAAGGCTTAGCGATCGCTTTTGGACTGAAGTAACTTGGTGAGAAAGCTAACCATTTACATAAAGTTTAGTTCGTTACATCGAATTTAATAAAAATAATACTAATTAACTTTCCCCCATAGGATGCACTCATGCGCAGGGAGGGCCCCGAGAATGAAAATGGGGAATAGGAATGGGAATGGTGCAACCTTGGAAGAACCCAGCGCTCTATGATCATGATCACGGCCTCTGTCCATCATTTTACTGCGGCTTACCGGCGCCAGGACGCCCTGATAGGTCTCCTACGCTTGCCGCGCATGACCCGTTGGTAAGTAACCCATCATTGTCAATCTTTTGCAATTCCATTAAATATTTTCTCAGATGATGTTTAAAAGTGAATTTTGTTTTCAGGGCGCGCAGAGGAGGAGGCAGGTCGTTCCAGCACCGGGACGCCGCAAATCTGAATGATCCGCGAAAAGCTGCTGTGCGATGTTTGGGTGTAGCAAATATGTGAGTGCATAGCCTCTTTGGATATCTACTCTGAGCTTGGGCCCATTCCAGTTTGCTGAACAGATACTTAGGCCTCGCACTATCCAGTATGCCAAACAACATGGTGGCCAGGTGCAATCTTCGCCGAGCAGCCATCCTTAACATGTTTGATGAGTTTAGGAATGGAGTGATGTGTGATCTCGGAGGAACAGTGAAACAAAAGCGGGCGCATGCGTTTTGTACCCTTTGAATGAGACGTGACGATCTACCCAGCAGGCACGGGCCATACACTGTGTCACAGTAGTTAAGTTTGCTCAATACTAGTGACTCACATAAAGACATTCTAAGGCTTTCGCTTAAATAGGGCCTCAAGTTGTATAAAATCTTTAAGCGGTAAAAGCAGTTCTTTGTGCACTCGAGTATATGGCTTTCAAACTTTAGGTTTCCGTCTATGACCACTCCCAGGTTTCTTACCTCTGCCACTCTTTCCAAAGGTTCTCCATTTATTCCAACATTGAGTTGTATGGTTTTAAGAGTCTCCAAGCTTTTACGTGTTCCTGTTAGCATGAACTTTGATTTTCTAGGGTTGAGAACAAGGCAATTGGCAACACACCAGTCAAAAATCTTACCTAGTTGGTTGTTAACCTTTATTATTGCATTTTCATGATTAGATGGGGTGAATGATGTATATAATTGTAGATCATCGGCATATAGGTGGTATTGACAGTCCGTGATGCAGTTGATTATGTCAGCACTGTACAAAATGTACAGTATTGGACCCAATATGGATCCCTGAGGAACTCCGCGAGTTACTGGTTTTTGTTCTGACAATAATGCCAACCCATCCACCCCTTTCAGCTCTACATACTGCTGTCGTTGAGTAAGATAGCTATGGAACCATCGAATGGAGGAGCTATCTAGACCATAATAACGCAGCTTGGAGAGAAGCAAAGGAATATTAATAGAGTCGAACGCGCGCGAGAAGTCCAGCAGCACAAGCATCGAAACCATCCCTCCATCCTGAGCAGCGAGAAGGTCATCAATAACATCCGAAAGAGTTGAAACTGATGTTGTTACCCGTCGCGTTTCTCAAGCGTACCCTTTTTTATTTTTAACCTTTCTTTTTGTTTCAGGTTTCTCGAAGGTCTGCACGTCGACCTTGTTGCGGATCACATCTTCACTGCAGTTCCAGGTGATACCGTCAACTTTCCTTATGTCATCAGTTTTTCTTTTCAGACTTTCTTCGTTTCCTTTCCGTTGACTTACTTTACCATCTTCTCTCATTGCCTTGACCAAATCGTCATTATTAGTAGTCGACTTTTGCAATTCAAACCCTTCTTTTCCTAACATTATGTTCATCCCTCTGTAAAGTTGAATCCCCTGATCGTTAGTTCCGCAACCCATCATGAGATCGTCCACATAAAAATCTGACAATATCTTTTCAGCCGCCGTTGGAGAAACTTCACCGTGATCCAAATTCATGCTAACATATTCATTAGAAACCTCTATGTATTTCTGTTTCAGGTCACCGTTCTTCAGTCTTCGTTCTAATGAATACATTCTTTTTTCAGGTATCTGCACAGAATTCTTCACATCGGGATCTTCGTTCTTCACCGGAAGACGACGCATAATGTATCGACCAGTGTCATCTCTACGAGTAGTTCTGGTAAAGTATCCTTCGCATGTCTTTTCATTTTCTGTATTCAGCCTTTTCTTCGGCAACGGAACGTCATCTTTTAACTCCCTAAACTTTCTTAGAATCTGATTATCCTCCACGCTACAATGCATTACCTTGATTGTTTCAGAGGGCTTCATAGGCGTGTGAACAACGCCAGACAGAATCCACCCCAATGACGAACACTGAGCAAGTGGTGAACCAAGCGGTCCCTTGATGACTCCGTTTTGAATAACCCGGCTATATACTTCTGACCCCAACAACAAATCTACACTGTTAGAAGTATAATAGCTCGGATCCGCGAGGACAAGATCCTGAAGTTCCTTCCATTCCTCCGCTCTTATTTTCCGGTTAGGTAAAAGCGTTGTGATGGACCCTAGTACGTAAGCTTTT